GCAGGCACCGGGGGACTTGTTTACAAACTAAAAGAGAACCCTGGGCTCTTGCCCTTTCCGGGAAAAAGACCCCTCCAACGACCCGCGGAACGCCCTCTCCAGGCCCAGGGGGAGGGGGTAGGGGGAGGGGTAAACCCCTCTCCGAAAGGGAAGAAGGGGGGTTGAGAACAGAGCGGGCTCCCTAAACCACTCACGCCCAAAGGGCTGGTGGGATTCATCACGGCGCATCACAGCACAGGCGTCGGCACGGTACATCAAGATCGATACACTCAGCATTGCGACCTGGCACGTTCCTTGGCACGTTCCGTGGGGCGTCCCTTGGCGAGGTCCCCTGGCACGTCGCGTGGCGCGTCTCCTGGCACATCCCGTGGCATATCCGTTGGCACGTTCCGTAGCGCGTCCCCTGGGCACGTCCCGCGGTGCGACCCCATGGCACGTCCCTTGGCACGTCGCCTGGCGCGTCCCTTGGAACGTTTCGCGGCGCGTCCTCCTGGCAGGTCCCCCTGTCAGTTGGCGCTGGGGCAGCTACTATGTGTTCAGGCAGCTCGAGCTTAAGATCCAGATCAGTTCGGTCAGGATTCGGATGCAAAGGAGGACTCGATCCACGACGCTATAGAGCACACTCGCGGCATGGCACATCGCAATTCATCACGGCGCAGCACAGCAGAGCCCTCGGCAGGGGACATCAAGATCGATACACTCAGCATTGCATTTGCCCGTCACCCAATCAAGTGTCTTTGAAAACGCTGCCATGCGTTACATTTCTATATTCCTTTCCGGGTTCGTGGGTCGATCATGTTTTTCCCGGAAAGGGCTGACGGGAAGAGGGCCGGCGGATTTCTTTTGCGATAAATAACGAGTGGGAACAGGGCCGGCGAATTAAGATTTGAGGATGTCTCGAGCGAAACGCTCGGTTTTCAGAATGTGTTGAGGATGTCTCGAGCGAAACGCGTGTTTTGTGTTATGGATCGTCCTCTCCTGGGGGACCAGAATTTAGAGGATCTCTCAAGTGAAATGCTTGGTTTCACGTGCCCAGGTCTTGAGGATGTCTCGAGCGAGACGCTTGGTTTCACGCCTCCAGGTTGCCCAGGCAGAGGTCAAGCGCCAGGATTTGTTGAGGATGTCTCGAGCGAGACGCTTGGTTTCACGCGTCCTCGTCGCTCAGGCGGATGTCTAGAGTGAGGAGGTGTTGAGGATGTCTCGATCGAGATGCTTGTTTGCACGTGTCCAGGTTGCCCAGGCGGATGCGTAGCATGAGGATGTGTTGAGAACGTCTCGAGAGATACGCTTGTTTTCACGTGTCCAGGTCGCTCAGGCGGATGTCTAACATGAAGATGTGTTGAGGATGTCTCGAATGAGATGTTTGCGTTCACGTGTACAGGTCGCCAAGGCGGATGTCTAGAATGAGGAGGTGTTGAAAACGTCTCGAGCGAAACGCTTGTTTTCACGTGCCCAGGTCACCCAGGCGGACGTCTCACATCAATGAAGATGTGTTGAGGATGTCTCGAGCGAACTACTTGTTTTCACGTGTCCAGTTCGCCCAGGAGGATGCCTAGCATGATAATGTGTTGAGGATGTGTTGAGCGAAACGTTTGTTTTCACGTGTCCAGGTCGCTCGGGCGGATGTCTAGAATGAGGATTTTGGGAGCTCCACCGAAGGTCTCAGAGGAGCAAGGCACCAGGCCCGTCGAGGGCCCCTGGGGACTGAAAACACAGATGGAGGGCGGAGGAGCATACAAGTGGTAAGCTCCTCCGAGGCGGACACGTGGTGGGTAGCGCCTCCCGCGGGTACAGCGCACGCCACCCTGTACGGGGTCCGAGTGGCGGGCTCCCGGGAGTACACCCACCACAAGGCTGGACAGGCGGCGGTAGACAAACACTCTGGGCAGGCTGTGCCGCCCGGAGAGGCAGGGAGAGAGGAGGGGAGCAGCAGGCAGGCAACGACGAACGCGCAGGCGGGGGGCCGGGGCTGGCGGTACGAGGAAGGAGGGCGGGCAGGCGGGAGGGGAGACAAACAGAGGGCAGCAGGCAGGGAGCAGAAGGAAAGGGAGGAGGAAGGAGGAGGAGGAGGACAAGGAGGACGGAAGGCAGCGACCGCAAGCAGACAGGCCGGGCCAGGGGCCGGGAGAGAAGAACCACCCGCGACGAGGCTACGAACCCAACGGCGGCGACCTGAGCAGGGGGGCCGCCCGAGCCCAGCACGATGCGGTTTGGTGGGGATTGCCGTCTGCGGGATCCATCCACCGCCCCGCCGGGGAAGGGCCAGGCGGCGCGTGGGAGGGGTCGCCGGCGCGACGTTGGCGAAAGGGCGCGGGGGGCGCCCGTGCTGCCCAGCAAGGGCGGGGAGGGGGTGGGCGGGGGGCGCTAGGCAGCGCAGGGGGCACCTCACACGGCGTCTGCCGTGGAGGCCGCCGTGGCCGCGGCCAGGCGGGCCGCTGCCACCCCCGCCCCTCCAGACAGGGTCTGACGGCGCTGCAACACCGCCTGCGCGTTCTCCCTGTGCAGGGAGACGGAAAGTCGTCGGGCGTGTTGGTCCGCAACCAGTGCCCCGTGACGTCAGCCACCCGCTTGGCCAGGACCCCGAAGGCCCTGCGTGCCTCGCGGCCCCACCCGCCGCCGTGGGCTTCCACCACCATGGGGAGGAAAGTGAAGCCCTGTGCCGCGCAGAGCCGCGCGGTGTCCTGGTGCTGCTTTTTGAACTCCTCGTACCGCTCCGTCGCTGCGCTTGCCGAAGCGGCCGACGCGGCGAAGGGATCGGCGCGCAACCCTGACGTGGCGGCAAAGTCCCAGGCGGCCTCCGTGCCGTTGCGCCACCGCGGCAGGTAGACGTCGGCAGGGCGGCGGCCGTTGTCGTCCACCTGGGACCCGCCCTGCTTGCCCCCGGGGGTGGCCTCCCCGGCGGGGCGCGTGGGTAGCAGCCCCGGGCGCTCCAACTCCGCCCCGGCGTGGCCGGCGGCCAGGGCGTCGAAGAAGGCCTGGTTGCGCAGGGCGTTGTGGCGTTTGAACTGGTCGCCGCGGCAGGCGCAGACCAGGGCGTGGTCGCAGAAAACGTCCATCACCTCGCCACAGGCTGGGCAGAAGCACTCCTCTTGCAGGAGCTGGACTCGCAGCCGCTTCTGCAGGCCGACCTGCATGAGGCCGTGCGGGAAGGCGGTGCCGGTGGCCTCGCAGGGCGGCGCTTGGAGCCACGCGGCCGCGCCTGGGGCTTGCACCAGAGAGAGGTGTGCCTTGCCGGCCAGGGTGGAGCCCGCCAGAAGTCCGTCGAGCGAGGCGCTGTCCACCGCGTCGGAGGGTGCCTTCTGGTTGCCGTGCTGCGCGTGGTCTTGGTCTGTAACTGTGCGTTTGTTTTGCGTTGGGTTGCATGGTAAGGTTTTGTTTGTCCGTGCGTCGCGGTGCGGTGCTACCCCCCCCCCGCCCCCCCCTCCTTCTCTCCCCCCCCTCCCCCTCCCCCCCCTTCATCTCGATGTCTCGAGCGAAACGCTTGTCCCCAGCACGTTCCGTAGCGCGTCCCCTTGGCACGTCCCGCGGTGCGACCCCATGGCACGTCCCCTGGCACGTCGTTTGGTGCGTCCCTTGAGACGTTCTGGCATGTCCCCCTGTCAATTGGCTTTGGGGCAGCTTCTATGTGTTCAGGCAGTTCGAGCTTAAGATCCATATCAGTTCGGTCAGGACTCGGACGCAAAGGAGGACTCGATCCACGACGCTATAGAGCACAACCGCGGCATGGCACATCGCGATTCAGCACGGTGCAGCACAGCGCAGACTTCGGCACGGTACATCAAGATCGACACAAGCAGCAATGCAATTTGGCACGTTCCGTGGGCCGTCCCTTGGCGAGTCCCCTTGGCACGTCGCGTGGCGCGTCCCCTGGCACATTCCGTAGCACATCCATTGGCACGTTCCGTAGCGCGTCCCTTTGGCACGTCCTACTGTGCGACCCTATGGCACGTCACCTGGCACGTCGCCTGGCGCGTCCCTTGGGACGTTTCGCGGCGCGTCCTCCTGACATGTCCCCCTGTCAATTCTCTTTGGGGCAGGTTCTATGTGTTCAGGCAGCTCGAGCTTAAGATCCATATCAGTTCGGTCAGGACCCGGATGCAAAGGAAAACTCGATCCACGACGCTAAGCACAACCGCGGCACGGCACATCGCAATTCAGCACCGCGCAGCACAGCACAGCCTTCGGCACGGTACATCAAGATCGAAACAATCAGCATTGCATTTGCCCGTCACCCAATCAGGTGTCGTTTGAAAACGTTGCCATGCGTTACATTTCTATATTATTTTCCGGGTTCGTGGGTCGATCATGTTTGACAGGGGTGGTGGGGGGAGGCCGCATCGGGTTCGTTGCGCATGCTCCGAATGTTGAAGCACATTGTGATTTGTAATGTTTTATATAAAGGGATGGTGGTGGGGTACCCTCATGGACTCGAGTTGGCTCCCAATTGCCCAATGGAGCAGTGATAACCCCCCCGAAGGGGAAGAAGGAGGGGTGGAAGAGGCAACTCCTTAAACCACGTCCGCCCAAAGGGCTGGTGGGATTTGTCGCGGTGGTAGCGATATTACTAGATCGTGAGTAGAACATGTTTGCATGTTTTGGCTTGTCTTGCCGTGGTGGACTAAGTTGCACTTGTAACTCATGCGCGCCTTGACTTGTCAGCCCTCGATTCAGAAAGGAACACTGTTCGACCGTGACGCGCGCTGCTCAACCGCAGTATGGTTTTTTTTCGTGGGCATCCTCCGCTGTCTTAGTTATGGGCCATGTATCGCTCGAGAGCTGGTCTTGTCGAGCAGGTGGCGTGCTTTCTATGCTGTTACCTTCGCCCGCGTACAGGTGCAAGATTTTGGCCGCCTCGCCTTCGCGGCCACGTTCAACCTGAGACAGATAGTATCTGTGCTGGCACCGCCTCTCTATAGTCATGCTGTCTTCTGTTGGCACCCATGACACGCCCTGAGCAGTCAGGGACCATCCCTCCCTTGTCTCGCTCCGCTTTCCTGTTTGGCTTCTGTTCTCCAGTGCTCTTCCACGGGCTTCGAGGACCTTCGGGGACTCCGAGGCCTCGGGGTCGTCGCAGCCGCCGTCGTCGTCGCCTTCGCCGCCGTCGCCACCGCCGTCGTCGGCGACCGAGTCCCCCAGCAGTTGCGGAAACGGAAAGATGCAGGAGTTCGAGGATTTGAGGTTCGAGGATTGACGATTGAGGGTGTGGGTTTTCTTGTTGTTTGGATGTTTGGGCTCTTTGGAGGCTTCCAGAGGTTTCCAGAGGCCTCCAATATTCTAAATTTGTACTTACAGCCTCAGGTTGCTGAGTACTTTTCGTTTCCTTTGTAGTGGCCTGGCCCATCCCGCCACCATGCCTTGGTGACAGGTCAGAGGCCTCTTGGATGCGGTTTTTGGGTATCATTGGGGTCTGTCGGGGGCCTCTTGGGGTCTGATTTGGGCGTCATCGGGGCCTCCTGAACCCTTTGTGGGGCTTCTTTGGGGCCTGCTGGAGGTCTCGGAGGCCCTCTTGGGACGGAGGTCTTGAAATCTCGGTTCGTTAGCTCCCTCTGGGGCCTTCTTGGGTTGTCTTGGGGGTTTCATGGGACGTCTTCGGGCGATCTCTGGAGCCTCTTGGGCCGTCTTGGAGCGTCGAAGACCAGAAATGGCGAGAACGCTACAATTTTTCAAAAACCGACGGATAATCAAAGATGTTGCCTTCTCGGAACGCTCTGGGGTAGCCTCTTGGAGCTCCCTTGGGTCACCTCGGGGGCCTCTTGTGCCGGAGCGATCTTCGAGCGACTCGGGACCCTCTTAGGGGCCTCTTGGGGCCCTCGTGGGCCGCCTTGGGATCCGCTGGCTTCGAAAAAGTCATGCGGGAACACGTGGAAAAACAAACACGGCATGTGGGACGCCCCTGAAAATGTTTAAAGGTAGGTCCGGGCCCATAAATATTCAGTCCTCCGGATTGTCGGGCGGGTGGTAATGGGGTGTGACTTAAATGGGGGGGGGAGACAAGGGCCTTAAAGGGGCCTTTTTCTGTACCCTCTATATAGGTCACCTCCTTGTTACCACCCGCCCGAGATTGAGGATGGAAAACTCTAGGGACTTGGGAGCACTCGAAGTCGTGCTTCAGGGTAAGGTGGCAGATCTGTAGAGGGATAGCAGTCCACTGCGTTTGGTCGCTTCTACCAGCTGTCTGCAATAGCCCTTGCAGCTGATTCATTCTCTCGTTGCGCTCAAAGCGTTTGCATTGGGTCGCTAGGCTAACTCTCACTGTCGGCCAGAATTGAAAGTTTTGTCCTTGCCCATGGGAACCATGTGGGCTCTTGCTGAGGAATTCTAAAACCCATCAGCCCTACGATACGTTTAGTAGGTGGCAATGTTCGCATGCTCAGCCTTGTAACCTTTGAACGCCTCATCGAACAAGCGAGCTGCTCCTTTCGTCTGATATCCGTGTCGGTGTTCCCAACGAGTCGATGTTTTTCAATGCTCTTGCAGCTCATGACCGCCAAGCTGATTTGCATAATCTTCTCGACTGGTCAGCGGGAGCGGGCATCGATTCTGAATTGGAGCAGATTTCACGCGAGCGAAGTCTTGCCTTCCAGCGAATGTGTGAGGGGTGAGAGGGTCGAGTTTGTCTTCCTTTTCCCGCCAGAGCCGTCTTCCTCTTGTGCCGCCTACTCTGGGCCACAATTGCACCCCTCCAGTCCATGCCTCGTCACTTTTTGGGGTCTCGGTACTGCCCGAGGCGTCTTACTTGGTCTACAGGCACGCAATCAGCGGCCCGCAGATAGCAGGACTTGTCATGCCGCCGTGCTGTTCGTGATTGCATGCCCCTGCCGAGCAGAGCTGTCCTTCTTGGCTGCGTTTGTCCCTTGGGCTTGGCCAAGACATGCGCACTCTGTTTGCCGTATCTTTCGCGTGCGTGATTTCCAGGTTCGGATGACTCTTCGCACGGACTGCAAGTGGTGAGGTCTTGAGATTAGACGCCAGCCGCTAGCCTCCCAATCGGCGGCTCGTCGGGCGAGGGGTCTCTGCACCCAGATCATTGGGACACCTTGAGACCACCTCCTCGTCGCTGCGTTTTCTCATGTGTAGTTCAATTGGCAATGGTTCCAGCACGCTTGTCAAAACATACGTATACTATGTTTTGTGATCTTCCTCTCTCTTCCCAGTCGTCGTATCTTTCCATTATTATCTTGGCTTGTATTGGTTTGGGCATGGGTCTCCCTGGTCGTAGGAAATTGGCCACAGTACGAGACGACAGGGTCGGAGTTGGACACGTCAGAGCCATGCGTGACAGTTTGAGGAGAAAACACGATGATGGATGGCAGTCCTCCGATCGCTTGATCGAGCGCAACACGAGGCACATGCTGCACAGTTGAAGCCACGTTGAGATGTAATGAAACGCGTTTTCCGTCATATTCCGACGTTCGTGTGCCCGAAAAAAAGGCAAATGCCATTGGCGTTGCATAGAGTCACGGAAGAGCGATACCAAGAGTTTAGCACCCCATGTTAGTTGTTGTGGCAGTGCTCAAGTTCTTGTGCGACAATGTAAGTTGCGAGTGTGCCGCAATGTTATGTTCCAGGGTTGTCAATAGTCTTCGCGGTGTTGGTCTTCCAAAGCTTCGCGGGATGGATGTACACCCAAGACGAACAGAGGCGCGTCGACGATTATGTGTATATGGAGTTGTGGGAGCTGTGTTCGCATGCGAAGTTGAATGGTGGTTGCGCGGAGTCGCATGGACTTATGTTTTATATTGATGATGCGAGCAAATGTAGTCTGGGAGAGTTCTCTACCCTCTTATGCAAGGAGTGCGGATTCTACTTCATGGCACCTGTTGCATCGCTCCCATGAGCCCCTCATAGGCATCACGCCGCTTACCAAACTGTACCCGCTCGGTCGTGGACAACCGAAGGTGTGTCGCGTGCCACCCACTGACTCATTCTTCATCGTGTTTCCACATCTCGATGTCCCCGTCACCGCCAGCAGCAGTAGCGCAATGCGCGGCCCGTGTACGATGAGACAGTTATCGGGAGGGCCTAGAGTGAGGATGGATCGTTCCAGAGCGTTCCAACACGCTCTGGGACGGCCGCGGCACCCGATACATCCTCCAGATCCGCTGGTTCTCATATATTCCCATGTATCATCATCCATATCCAGCTGCATGCGGCGGCAAGTCCCGCCGCCGTGCCAGCCCAGCATTTTGGGTGGCGACTGATCGAGGGGGCACGAGGGGCTGTCACATGTGACACCTTGTGTCCCCAGGCTTGGGGGAGCCTTGATGATGATGATGAGGAGGAGGAGGAGGAGGAGGGTGGTGGAGGTGGTGGTGGTGATGGTGGTGGTGGTGATGATGATGATGATGGTGGTGATGATGATGATGATGATGATGATGATGATGATGATGATGATGATGATGATGATGATGATGATGATGATGATGCTTGGGGAACGAGAGCAGTCAGTGTGACTTAATGTGAGTGCTGAATTATGTTCCCTCTCCGCCGTCTTTTTCTTGGCTCGACCTTTAGCCCAGGCATGCACACGTTCTAGTGACACCCCGGCCCCCCCAGTGCAGAGCAGAACATGGTCCTGACGACTGCTCCATCCGAAGATGGGTCCGCGGCGGCTGCGGACGAGGGGCCAAGCCGCTGGTGGGCTGTCCTGTGGGCTGCTGGCACGCTGGCTGCCGCCGCCCTCGGCCTTCGCCAGACCCTCAGCGAGGCCAGCGGGCGCGAGGCGGTGCAGCGCCTCGCAGTGACGACGCTGCTGGGCACCTGCGGCGCAGTCGCATCGCTGTGGCGGGCAGGGCTGCTCGGCTGGTGCTGTCAGCGGCGCGGCGAGACGGCCGAGATGGCCAGGCTGCGGGCGCAGCTTGCCGCGCTCCAGCTTCATCACGGTGGCGGGGCTGGGCAGGAAACGCAGGGCACCACGCAGGACGCCTTCGCCCCCGCGGCCGAGCAGGAGCCGCCGCCGCTGCCGCCGCTCCCGCCCTTCGGCGTCGGCCCGCCCGTCAGCGCGCTGCCTGGGGGCTGGGCCGCGGGGGCCCCGTCGGCCCCGGACGGCGGGCGCCTTCCACGCGTTCGGCATGGGCGAGACCGTGGGCGGCTCCATCTCGGCGGCCCACGGCAGCGGCGGCGCGGCCGCGCCTGGCGGAGGGCCTTCGCCTCCAGGAGCTGCCGCCCCCGCCGCTGGGGCCTCGAACGCTGCGGCCTGCGCTGCGGCGCTTCGCGGCGAGCTGGAGAGCCTCGCGGCGACGAGCAGCGTCGACCCATGGTGGGGTCAGAAGGTCTGGCAGTTGGGCCACCAGCGCGACGTGGCTGGGCAGCTGGACCCTGGCATCAAGGCGGCCTTGACCTCCCGCGGGCTCGCTGAAACACAGTGGGCGGGCTACCCGGACGTGGAGATCGTCAAGGCGGTGCTGCGCGGCTTCGAGGCGGAACCAGGGCTGTTCACGGGCGGCTACGTCGGGACGGGTTTGGCCGCCGTCGCCAGCGTGGACAGCTGGGCCCATAGCTTGCCGCCCGACTTCCGCCGCGCGGCGGGAGAGATCTACTGCAACATCCGCGCCTCGGGTCGGTGCGCAAATGGCTGACGCAACAGCACACGGGGTCCAAGCGCGGCGAGGAGTGGCAGGCGTTCTGGGCGACGGCCACAGCGGTTGACTTCGCTCTCGGCGAGTGCAAGGACGACGTCGCGCTCTACGCTAAGCTGAACTCGGACGATCAGGTGGAGCTGGGCTTGCGGTATCTCAGTGCGTACGCCTGCGAGAGCCGCACTCACGACGTCGTGGGGGCCGCGCGCCTGCGGGCGGTGGTGGCGCCGGGGTCGGCCATCGACATTGCGCCGAACTGGCTGATCTCGGAGGCCACGAGCCATTCGAAGATGGAGCATCAACGTGAAGAATGAATTCAGTCTGAATTTCGACGCCGCAAGGCTTGCGGCACTGACCTCCGCCTCCCGCGGAGGCGCCTTGGCAGCCGGGGGCGCCGCCGTTGCGTTCTTCGCGACGGCTGCGATCTAAGAGGAGTGCTTGCTGGATGCCGGTTCTCAGGGAAGGCAATGATGCTGGTCGCCGCGCGCGCGATCAGCTGGTTGCTCCTCCACGGCGAGCAGGAGCGCGACCTTCCCCGACCTCGATGCTGCGCGACACCTATTGGAACAAGGTAAGGCGGCACTGCCGGCACCGCTCCTCTCTTGGCCCGAGTCTTCTCCTTCAGCCCGGTCAGGGATGATGCGCCAGCGGGAGTCACGGCGTCGAGCAGCACATCGGCATTGCAACGAGATGCTGGAGGCTATGGGCCGCACGTTTGCTGGGAATACGAAGCAGCAGGCTAGCGGCTCCGTCCAGAAGTGTGACTTGCGACGAGACGGAGCGGCAGGACATACTCAACGTCGCGCCATTCGGATGGCCCAGGAGTCTGTCAGTGCTCGCCAGCCGGATTCGGTGACAGGCGCGCAGGCCATTGGCGAGCTGCTCAAACTTGGCGAGATCACGTACTCGGGTTCGAGGACGCGGCAGGTCCACGCCGCGTTCATTGCGGACAAGATCGACGAGGCGACCCCCGAGAAGGCCGTGGACATGTTGGCAGCCCTGCCACCGCAGAAGGCCGAGTTCTACGCCGAGGAGAGCAACGTGGTGGACTGGGGCGGCAAGAGCTCCCTGTTGCTTGGCGAGCTTGAGGAGCACTACGGCTTCCTAGGAGGCTCGCAGGACGAGCGCGCGCGGTGCCTCCAGCGCCCGGACCTCCCACCACGTCCGTGGACCTACAAGCGCCGCCAGGACATCCGTGCCATCGACGGCGCGGGCGCGGTTCCCAAGATGGATCCGGAGAAGCTCAGGGAGCTGATCATGGCGGTGCCCGCGAACTACGCACGGCGCGATGTCAAAGCGCGGGGGGCCATGGTCATGGAGGCGGCGGAGCCTTGTCCCTCACTCGCGTTCTGGAGGGCGCTTTGGACTTGGCTCGACGCGATCAGTCGAACGCCTTCTCGTCTGTTGTCCCCCCAGCCTGGTGGTGGCCATGGGTGGCCGCGCCCGGCCTCCCAGCAGCACTAGTGCGTCAGCAACTGCCTGCAGATATGATGGGCGTTCCAGACTGCGAGATAGTCTACCCGTGCTACCAGCGGCCCCCGATGGGCAGCTCCCACTCCGCGCGCATCTTGATGGCGATCAACGTGAAGAGCCTCGGCGAGACCCTGGAGTGCAACGGGCGCTTGGCTGAGATGGCGATTCACTTGCCGCGGGCGGACTCCGAGCTCGTCGACGAGGCCGTCGCGCACCACCTGGAGTGGGTCAACTTGCAGGAGAACCGCAGGAGCGCTGACAACTTCGAGGCGGGCCTCTCGGTGAAGGAGTTCGAGGAGATGGTCAGGCGGCTGAGGCGGTCGCTGCAGCGCGCCACGGCGGTGCTGCACGTCTTTGCCGGGCCGCGGCACCGGGGCGACGTGTGTGCGGCAGCGCGAGGAGACCTGCGCCGAGCACACGGTCCCGCTCTTCTTCTTCGGCGTCGACCTGGCCTGCGACGCCCGCTGGGACTTCGCCGACCCGCGCGCCGCGTCCGCGGTTGCGGGCTTCGCTTACGAGGGCCTGATCGACGTAGTGCTTGGCGGCCCGCCGTGCGTGACCTGGAGCCGCTTGCGCCACCGGCCAGGAAATTCCCCGCCCGTTCGGCGACGAGACCAGCTGCTGGGGCTGCCGGGCCTGAGGGCTGCAGAGAGGATGCGGGTGCTGGAGGCTAACGCTTCACATTTTAACTCCCTTGGCTTGTGCGAAGCTGTGCTGTCTCAGAGTGGCGCCTTTTTGCTAGACCGCCCAGCTGATCCAAGATCGTTTCCCTTTCCCTTGTTTTTTGCCCTCGAAGGGGTGATGGGGTTTAGCTGAGCGAGGTCGCAGTTGCGTGTTCACCTAGACCAGCGCATGCGTGGGCGGGGGGGGGGGGGGGGGGCAAAAAGCCTACAGGTCCCCTCTCTAACTTCCTCGGTATCGAAGAAGGTTTGATGCGTTGCGACGGTCGACGCACTCACGACACCTACTAGGGGAAATACTGATCAGGGAGTATTCGCATTACGACGTCTTCAGAGTTACCCTTCAGGTCTGTGCCAGTTTGTGGGCCAGTCTACTACCCGTACCTAGGCCAGTATGCGAGTTGGACTTGGTGGTCCGGGGGGTAGGCGCCGCCCGACGGCAGCGCAGCCTCGCGCATCCCAATGGAGTTGCGAAGTGGAGGGTCGGCTAGGAGGAAAGCTGGCGATGCTGAGCGAGAAATATCAGAGAGGGGGGAGGTACCTGCTGGCCGAGGACGACGCTGCAGCGCACGTGCACGTGGACGACGGTCTGCTGATGACGGTCGGCAGCGATGGCGCAGAGCCTCGATGCGACAGCCTCATGGAGGCCGTCGCGGACGGCTGGGAGTCGCAGGGGTTCCTTGCCACCGAGCGCGTCAAGGCGGACGACGACCTGAAGGTCGTGGGCTACAGGATCCAAAGGTACCCCCCCGCGCTGCGCTTCGACCCGCACAAGGGCTGGCTGCTGCGCGAGAGCAGCTCCTGGCTGCTGGAAGTCGACTGGGTCGGCGTGGAGCTCCTCAGGGCGGTCGTGGGCTCGCGGTTGTGGGGCGCCTTGCCGAGGCGCGAGCTGCTCGCCATCCCGCGCGCGCTCTTCCGCATGATGGGCACGCGCGCCAACCAGGTGGTCCGATGGTGGCCGTCAGCGCGGAGGGAGATCAAGGTGATGGCGCGCCTGGCCCCGGCCACGGAGTGCGAGCTGGACCAGCCAGCAGCGCCCTACGTGCACTCGGCTGACGCGGAGGGCGTCGACGACGACGACTTCGGCGGGCGCGGCGTCGTGGGCACGAAGGCCGACTTCGACCAGGTGGAGGAGCTGGTGGCCGCGGGGGCGAGGCCGGGGCAGACCGCGGCACGCCTCGATGGGAGAGCCGGCCATCTGAATTGGGCCGGCCGCGAGATATCCAACCGCATCGCGGTGTCTCACGTCCCCCGTAGCCTCCTCGATAAGCCGCCGCAGGACTGGACATAGCTTGGAGCGGGGCGTTGGAAGCGCCCGGATCGCATCACGCTGGGCGAGGACCGAGCCGCCGTCAAGCTGCTGGCCGCGCCCAGCTGCGCCCCCGGGGCGCATGGCTACTTGGTCGCCAACCCAGAGGACAGCGAGGGGCTCTCCGCGGCCATGGCCAAAGGGCGCTCGACGGCAGTGAGCCTCAACTTGCTGCCCCGACGTCGGGCGGCCCTGTCAATGGCATCAGGTGTCATGTTATTGCTGCCCTGGGTGGATACCAAGCACCGGGCAGCTGATTGGCTGTCGCGACGTAAATGAGGCGGCGCGGGCCGAGACGGCTCGACCACCGCCAGGTCCAGCGGGTCAAGCCGCATACCATCGAGACTTACCGCTGCGAGGCTCGCGCCTTCACCTCGCGGGCCATCGCCAACAACTTCAACCACGTCGGCCCGGACGAGTGGGGCGACGCGCTGGTCGAGTACAAGAATGCTTGCGAGTCCTTGCTTTCGCCGTCAAAATTATGTAGCCTGTTTGCGGCCGTTGAACTGTTTTTCCCGCGCATGAAGGGCGAGCTGATGTGGGCCCACGCTGCGCTTCGAGGCTGGGAGCGCTGCCATGTCATCAAGCACACCGTGCCGCTCAGTAAGGCGCTGGGCAAGCTGTTGAGCATCTACCTGGCGTCCGCGGGCCACGCGAGGCTGGCTCAAGGTCTGGTGCTGCAATGTCACGCGGGGCTCCGACCTTCAGAGAGGCTTGGCTTGCGCCCCCACATTCGGCCCTCCCACGGAGTCTCTGAAGGGAATACTCTTTGAACAGAATCGAGCTCGAACACCATAGTGAGTTTCATGTCTGGGCCAAGTCGAGCCAACACACAACAGAATGAACTTCATTTCTGGATCTGCGAGGGTTGAAATCGAACCAGAACGTTACAGCGATTCGATTCCGCACAGCCGCCAGACCAGTGAGACGCCTCCCCCTGGCTTTTTTTTGTGGAGATACAAACGAAGAAAAAAATCACCCAGTACAAATAGTGAGTTTCATGTCTGAGCCAATTCGAGCCAGAACACCATCGTGAGTCGCATGTCTGGACAGTGCTGGACCAAATCGAGCTGACTCACCATAGCGAGTCGGTTCTGGACCATTCCAGACCGCCGCCAGGCCTGGGAGACGCCTCTCCCCAGCCCTCTCCAGGAGATTTTTGCGAGAGGAGATTTTTGGCCACTACTAGAACTCCGTAGCGAAACGCCACTCGGGAACAACTGGTGGAGAATTGATGATGATGGCCTCTCGGAACCCTCGTTGGGGGCTTCTCGGGACGTTTTGGGATTTTGTTTCTGCCAGCTGGAGACCATCTTGGGCGTCTTGGACCGATATTTCAGCGATTCGTGGCTGTCTTGGACCGTCTTGCGCCTAAGGGAGGCCCGGTATCCGTGGGCCCAAGTTGCCTGGATCTTGCCGGGGTGTGTTTCGTCGGGAGACCCCCAAGGGGGGGGCCCGCGCGCGCGAATTTGACAGTGCGCCATTACACCAGGGATGCGTGGTGTGTGTGTGTGTGTGTGTGTGTGTGTGTGTGTGTGTGTGTGTTTGTGTTATGAAAAGTCTGTGGTGCAATGTAGTAATATGGGGCAAGCTATGTAGGGCAGTCCATGTGGTACAAGCCATGTTGTGCAACACGTGTGGTGCAAGCTACGCGGTGCAGTCCACAACGGGCCCCCACGGGCACTCACCACTTGAAACCTCGGCGGACCCATCCACTTACTTATCAAGGCAAGTAAGTACCCTAAATGCAAGCACAGTATTGTGGAAAATCTCCCCCCTGCTTGATGAGGAGAGAGAGGGAGAGGGAGGAACAGGAGGAGAAGGAGGAGGAGGACGAGGCGAAGGAGGAAGAGGCGGAGGAGGAGGTTCCAAGAGGAGGAGGAGGAAGAGGAGGAGGAGGAGGACGACGAGTTGGAGGAGCAGGAGGAGGAGGAGGAGGAGGAGGAGGAGGTGGAGGAGGAGGAGGGAGGAAGAGGTGGAGGGAATGCCATGGTAAGACTTCTTTCACAATCGCATACTGCCCCCGCTTCACGCGAGGCCGCTGCTGACGAGGGCCGACACCAAGGCTCCGCGGCCCGCCCGCTCCCGCCGCCGCGCTCGGCCTGCTGCGCCAGCGTGCAAGTCGGATAGATCCTCCATCCCCCCCTCCCTCCCTCCTCCCTCCTCTCGCCCCCCCATCCCTCCCTCCTCTCTCCTCCTTTTTCCCTCCTTCCTCCATGGATCAAGCTGTTCTGGCCCGAAAGAGAGCGCTCAGGTCTCTCATCGCAGCCAGCCTCGCGTTCGCCAAACACGCCCCAGGTTGCGAGCGCAGATGCCTAGACGATCCCCCTCGGCCAGGTCACCATTTTCTTTCAGTCATGGGCGGCCGTGCGGACAGCCGCACGCGCGGAGGAGGCGGCCAGCGTCGTTTCTTGTTCTGCCTGACGTAGAAATGCAAGGGATGGACTTGGGTGGACAAACCTGGCAAAGCTTGCGGGCAAATGCTCGTGGGAAGGAGGGCGTCCTCTCCCAGACCGCCAGCTCCCGAGGACCCAGGTGGAGCGCCCAACAGATGGAGACGTTGCTCGGCCAGTGCAGCGACGGCAAGCCACCAGGGAGGAGTAGGAGGATATATCCCTGAGGAACCAGAGCGCAGCGGTGGCGATGCAGCTCTGGAAAAAGATGGAGGGAACCGCATGCACACATTGCACTATGGAAGTTGGAGGTCAAGCCAATCAAAGCTAGTCACCTCGCCAAAAAGTTGTACCAACAACGGAAGTCTATTCAGGACTTGCTGCAGATGCGCAGGAAAAGGTTGCAAGTGGCGAACCAAGAGGGGGTCAGCACTTCGGAAGGAATTGTTAAGTTGGCCACTGCGTATGAGAAACAGTTGCAAATTATCACGTATCTTGAGCTGGAAGTGCAGCAGCTCGAATTGCAGTACTAGGTGGCAGTTGAGCAGGCCTTCCAGAAGCTGGCCAAATCACCTCCAGAGTCGGCGCCGGCGCTGGACATCGAGAGTCCCCGACCGCGCAGGCGGCCATCAAGAAGACCATGGCCAACCAGCTCGACATGGAGTGAAAGCAGGTGCAGAGGCAGCGCTGGCAGCGGCAGCGTCGTCGCAGCAGCCGCATCCGCAGCAGGCGCAGCAGCCCCAGCCTCGAGGCACAGCCGTTGCTGGCATCAGCGCGCCAGTGCCTGAGGACAAGTCTGAAGGCGACCCAATGGATGCGGAGGCTGGCGCGCCCGTCGCGGAGGCCAACGGCACGAAACTAGCAGAAACGATCTTCGGCCAGGTGCTCAACCAGGAAGGTAAGACCGCACCCGCGTCCCAGATCCAGCTGCTCGAGGAGCTTCTGAAGGCCAAGTCCATGGCCCAGGGGGAGGGCAAGGGCCAGAAGGGGGCGGGGAGCACGATGGGCAACGCCATGATTTTCGCCAGTATCAGCGGGAATTGCTGGAAGTCGATCAAGAAATTGTTGGAGTCCTCGGCAGCGCGGCAGGTTGACATGTGCAGCCAGGAGGTGAGACGACGTTGCTACGACGCTCTCCCGCACATCGCTCAGTGGCGCGAGAGGGGGGGGTTGTCCTCGCCAGGGTCCTGTGGAGTCCCCTGTTGTCCCTCTTCTCTCCCTCTCCCTTCGTGTTCGACGTTCGCTAGCCACTTTGGCTTAGGGTGCGACTCTCTCGAGTCACCAGGAGAGTTCTGCGAGGCGTTATGATAAACAAGTTTATCTCCCCTCTCCTCCTTTGTTGTGCGCCTGGCCTGCTCATCCTGTGACAGTGGTAAGCGGAGCCGGTGGCAACGAACGATCTGAAGTGGAAGCGGCTTGGAGTTCAGAGTGGCCGAGCTGCTCGACGAGTGCAGGCAGCGCGCGCACCCGTGCTGGCATGCCAGCGCACCTAGAAGAGGAGGAGACGAACACGAACGAGACAGGTGTCCAGACCGAGCCCGTGGAGGACCAGAGAGATTCTTGGGGGAATCACGATTGGCGAACCTCCTGGGACTCTTGGCGGCAGCCCGCCGAGACGTGGGACGAGGACTGGAGCTGGTACCAGGGTTGGAACGACTGGGCAGGCGGGGCATGGTCTCCGTCCGGGGAACAGCGCAGTCGCGATTTTGGACCTCCACCAGCATATCTAGGACTGGAACACCTCGAACTGTATACGGAGAGTATGAGGGCCTGGTCTCGCCGGACGGGGCACTCCCCGAGCACTCAAGCTTCTCGAGTCGTGGAGTCTCTGCCCGTCGAGCTTCAACTCAAGTTCAAGTCCGTGCGAGCGACCCTGGACACTGAGGCGGGCGTCGGAAATCTGATCCAGCACTTGTGCATACTAAATGGAGAACGACCCGGAGACAGGGATCGCGTTTCACACTCGCAGGCCCTATTCGACTACATGATTCACCGGGGCGAGAATATCACGGACTACGTTCTACGACGAGATCATCAATTGTCCGACGCGGAAGCTCGAGGCCTAGTGCTACCCGACAACGTAAAAGCGAGATACCTCGAGGAGGGTGCCAACCTGAGCACGCGGAATACGATCAACATGAGAACGCTGGCGGGCGGCCGATTAGATGCAGCCTCGATGCGCTCAGCCCTCCTGCAACTCGATGTGACAGAGAAGGTGGTGCTCCCGGCTGTGCCCCTCCCGGTCCCGAAGGCGTTTGCCGCGGACACCTCGAGCTCGGCCGAGGCGATGCCCGACTTCCGAGGAGACGAGTCCGAGGGCGACGTCGAGTTGCCCGAGGATGACGCAGAGACCTTTCTGAACGCCGTGGAGACCCAGGACCTCGCTGAGCACGAAACCCCGGAGGTTTTCGCTGCTATCCTGGAAGAGAAGTTCGGTAAGGAAAAACGAAGGACCTGGGTCGACTCTCGGAAGCTCAAGATGGCCAAGAAGGTTGACAGAGACTTTTTCGATCGACGGAAAGCTGCCAAGCCAGGATTTCGGAAAGTAGGCGACAGAGATCTACGCAAACGGAGCCGTTGTGCTAATTGTGGCGAGAGGGGTCACTGGGCCGATCAGTGCAAGAACCCGCACCTCTCCAAGAGTGATCGGTTGGCCGAGGAGAAGAAGGCATCCTCTCGACCAGTGACTGGCTTCACGTACGCATTCGTGAACAATGACGAGGATGACGCCTTCAACTACGCATCCGGCTGGGAGCAGGAAGAGGAGCAGGACAAGGATGAGGGTGTTTTTGGCTCGTGGCACGTCGAGGCACTCGCAGAGTCCGACTGGGCATCCAGGATTCAGGATATTCTTGGGAGATCCTTCTCGGCTATCACGCTTCGCCACATGAGCACTCACGCGCTCGTGGGCACCGCGGCGGCCCAGGCACTCATCGGCAAGAGCGAGGCCGAGGGGCTGAACGAGGCGCTCGCCCAGCACGGCTTCAGGACCCACTTCGACTGGAGTCCGATCCCGGGCGTCTATGCCTCCGGGATCGGAGGGCGCACGACACCCATCGGAAGAGCGTGGGTCCCGATATCTCTCGGCGGGCGCGGGGTGGTCGAGTTCCTGGTGCTGGAGACCCACTGCCCGCCACTGCTTCCGGCTCGCCTGCTGACAGCGCTCAACGCAGTGATCGACTTACAGCGGGACGTGATGACCGTCTCGGTCGCGGAAAAGAAGTCCGAGCTGAAGCTTAAGCTGCACCCCTCCGGCCACAGGTCCGTCGACCCGGCGCTGCGCCCGGCCTCCAGCTACCGCCTGGCCCTGGAGATCCAGGGGGAGATTCCGGTAGAGTACCGCCTGGTTCAGGACCGCCGCAGGGGTGAGGGCAGGGCGGAGGGGGTAGGTGCATCTTTGCTAGCGCGTGGTCCGCCTGCCTCTCTTCCTTCTCCTCTCTCGGCCCCTGAGCCCCGGGCCCCTCGGAACACTGGCGGGGGCGGACCCGACCCCTTTCCGGAGTTTTCGGCCCAAGCAGCGGTCGAGGAGGAGCCCGCTTCTGGCGAGAAGCAGTCTGGCCAGGAGGCCGTCGCGGACCAGGACGAGGTTCAGGATGGTTCGTGGAAAGTCGCCGGCCCAGCTTCGGAAGGACGGAAAGCTCATCAAGAAGGTAGGCTTCGACCTGAATCACCTGCGCGAGGGAGCTCGCAATGCCCTCGAGACGGGGGCCACGGACATGTCGATCGAGGAGTGGGAGGAGCTCTCGGAGGTGAAGTCCGACCCAGGCCTCGACTCGACGCTCGAGAAGGAAGCCCTCTCGGAGCTCGAAGTTCAGTGGCTGCACGAGGGCTACCAGGTCTTGACGGCGCCGCAGCTTCGTTGGAGGAGGGTGGCTCTCCGCCTGTTGTGGCACGTTCAGGTTTGTCTTCAGGCCATCCTGGCGGCCACGGTGATGCCGACGGCGATCAAGGAGCGCGAGGATCCGGCCACCTGCCCTCGCCCAGGACATGCCAAGTGGGAGGGGGCCAACCAGCGCGGGAGGCATGGCAAGTGCATGGCGTGCAAGGCCCAGCTGTTCTACACGCCCTTCACCCCCGAGGAGCTCGAGCAGCGTCGCCTTGCCAAGCTCACGAAGGACCGCCAGAAGGCTGTGAGAGCGGAGTACAAGGAGAAGCTGAAGCCGAAGATTCACCCTTGGGAGGGACCCGACCCGTGGGTCGCAAGCTCTCCGGCCGCACCGCCACCGAAGAAGTTCCCCTATCCAGACCAGGAGGGCCGAGGTATGCCGATGGTCAAGGTGTCCGAGGGGCACGTGCCTGTCGAGCCCCCGCCGAAGGGGTTCGAGAGGCCCTCTCCACCGAAGGCGGCATCCGAGGAGAGTGGCGAGCGCCCGATGACGGTTCCAGAGATGCAGAGGGCTCTTCACGACATGAGCCCGGTGATGGAGGCGCAGCGCCGATCGAGCGAGTCCATCTTCATCAACTTCCGCCAGATGATGGCCGATCAGCGTGCCTGGACCGAGACCACGGTGCGCGACATGGTCGCGCGCCCCGCGAGCCTCCAGGGCGAGGATCTCATGCGCATCGCCACCATCACGCAGGCGATGCTGCAGGGCAGGGTGCCGGGAGGCACGCTCGAGTCGCTGAAGGAGGACGCCTCAGGCGAGTGAGCGATCTAGAGGCCAGCCTTCAA